TCGGACGCTTAACCGACTGCGCCACCCAGGCGCCCCTGGTCTTGGCTTTTAAAGTTACTTAAGCTTGTGCAGTTTTGATGCTCACAGATGTCTGGGTTAGCCATTGTGAAAGTGGTTAGTGGGTGTATTCTAGCATCGGGAAAATATGCACTGATCCTGAGTGTTACAACGGGCAACTTTCCAAATGTCAGAGAAGGGAGTAACAATTTGGGGAATAAGGAAGACCAGCATGAACTCAGTGGTGTTGGGTTGGGTTAAAGTGGATAGAGAATAGATAGATAGATAGATAGTTAGATAGACAGACACGATGGATGGATGGATAGATAGATAGATATGGGATAGATATGTAAGTAGATAGATAACTGATGGTTGGATGGATGGATGGATGGAAAGATGATTGATGGTTGGATAGATAGATAGATAGATATGATGGATGGATAGATAGATAGATAGATAGATAGATAGATAGATAGACAGACATGATGGTTGGATGGTTAGATAGATAGATAAATGGATAGGGGATGGATATGTAGGTAGATAGATAACTGATGGTTGGATGGATGGATGGAAAGATGATTGATGGGTGGATAGATAGATAGATAGATAGACATGATGGATGGATGGATAGATAGATAGACAGACATGATGGATGGATAGTTGGATAGATAGATAGACATGATGGATGGATAGTTAGATAGATATGTAGGTAGATAGATAATCAATGGTTGGATGGATGGATGGATGGATGGATGGAAAGATGATTGATGGGTGGATAGATACATAGATAGATATAAAGATGGATGGATAGATGGATGGATGGATGGATCAAAGGACACATTTCTAGCACCCAGCAGGTTGTGGGTGAGAGGAAGGTGAACAGACACATGTCCACAAATGCTGAGAAAGAGAGTCTGGAAGTCCCCAGGTCAGGGACTCCCACTCAACATTCAGTTCTGGGTTCAGCCCCCATCCCCAACCCTCAAGCAGGAGGCAAATACATATCCTGGTGCTATCGCTGTGTGCTCAGCTCTGACATCTCTGGGCTGGATAGTTTGGCCTGATGAACAGTCATGGGGTCACATCCCACCTCATGGTCCAGAATTAACCATTCTCTCTCACTGTGGCCCCACAGCAACCCAAATCCAATCTTGTGTTTCACTAATGTGTCCCTCAGGAGCTCCTACCAATATTGTCACACAATGGCCCAATGACTGTCTACACTGTGGAAATGAACAAAGACCACCCGAACAAGAACAAGCAGAAGAGGTTTGTTGAAAGCTTGCTGTACCATGTGATTGGCTGGAAGAGCGTATGTGGCTTTCTCTGACTGGTTCTGAGTTGGAAGCGTGGATGCAATTTAGGGAAGTCGTCAGATATTGACTCGAGGGGCTGGTTTCCTGGACAGGTTGTCCAGGTTGTGTATCAGAGCTCTGTTTTCATAGATCATTTGGCCATTGGCCATCTGCGTAGTCTGTCTTTCAATGTCCTGCATGTTGGCAATCTGGCTTCCAGTAATCAACACAGCTATTCTACTTATTCTAGTTTTCTTTTTCCAATCTGGTTGATGACATCACATCACCCACTGTGCCCAGCCCTGTGCTCAACACGTGGAAAAAGCTTCAGGAAAGACATGCTGAACTGATAAGCAAAGGCATGTAAACAAGTTGGACTCTCTGTGAACACTCCCGTCGTGGGACTCTGGGTCTATCACAGCCTCTGAAAATCAAACGCAGAATGAGGGGTATGAATTTTCCTTGAGTTTTTAAGGAAGTCTTTCTAATGCTCACAGTGTGCAGAATACTTCTGTTCTGTGCTGGCCATTGTTCCTGATGTAACTGATCACGCTACAGGTGATCTTGACCTTCATGCATCGGTTCCAGAAATAGAGAGAGAGAGAGGTCGAGAAGGACGTTCTGGCTTCTGGAAACCCCTGATCTTCCAAAGGGGAGCAAGTGTCCATTTCTTATGGTGAACACCTTCAGGTTCTGAAAGGGAGGGGACTTGACCGCTCAGTCCTCAGCAAACATTCGGTTAGATTTTTTGACCTCCGTCTGTGGGAAATGTCTGATTGATAAAGTCAGACAGCTCAATCCACCAGCAGGAAAGCAGAAATGATCTTGTGGTTTCATCTGATGAGTTGGCTGCAGGGACAGGAGGCAGCTTCCTCGATTCGAGGAGGAGAAACAGGGACGTCAGTTGGGCATCTGACTTTGGCTCAGGTCATGATCTCACAGTTCACAGGTTTGAGCCCCACGTCGGACTCTGTGCTGGCAGCCCGGAGCCTGCAACCTGCTTCCCCCTCTCTCTCTCTGAGCCTCTCCTCCCCATCTCTCTCAAAAATAAATAAACATTAAAAAATTTTAAAAAGTAAAAAAAAAATAAATAAATAAAGGAGAAAGAAAAGGTAGTCCCTGTGTCCCTGTTGCTTCCTTCCAAGGATGGACTGAGACATTCCTGCCAAGCGTACGTGAGGGACATGTCTGGGGTCCTCAACACGGGGGTGTGGGCAAGACATCTCTGAGAAGGAGACGGAATCCATGGGAGACTCCCCGCTGACCGTACAAAATGTTCTCGTGCAGCACAGTGCTGCTGTTGACGCAGTGGGACCTGAGATTAGCAAGCCATTTGTAAGGGCTCGGGTGCGGTTTGCAAAGTACAAAGGAAACCTTTGCTTGGGCATGTGGTCCTCATCCCTGCCCTGTGCCTTGTAAGGGCAAATCTAAATTTAAAAATAAAAGACCTCATTGTTCCTGTTAAAAATCAATGGGGCGTCTGGCTGGCTCAGGCAGTGGAGCGTGAGATTCTCGATCTTGGGGTTGGGATTCACGTTGGCTCTTGAGAGTACTTTAAAGGCGTCTTCCAATTATTAAAACATAATTTAAAATCTAAAATAAAATAAAATAAACTATCTTTTCTCCATAAAATAAAATAAAATGAAATGAAATAAAATAAAATAAAATAAAATAAAATAAAATAAAATAAACTATCTTTTCTCCATTGGATGAAGCCAGTTAGCTCAACACAGATGGTCACATCCATGAATTTAGGGAGAACTTTGTATGACAAACAGTACTGACGAGGCTCCTACTGGGGAACTAGTGATCGCTTGTCCCCGGAATACGTGTGTAATGGGTTCTGCCCACCAGCTCTATAAAAGGGTTTCCATCTTCGCAAATCTCTTTAACGGATTGCATGGGAGTCAGACGGCGTTGAGGCTGAATGTTTATTTTAACATATGATGGGTCTTCTCCTTTGTGGAGGAGGCTTCTGGACGGGCAGCCATTTTGCCTCTGATTAAATTTTCCAGACAGGGTGAGGAGAACCCACACGTCTGTAGGAATTACCCACCCTCCTGGGCCACGGGTCCATCTGTTATTTCCACGAAGCGATGGCATCTGAGTCTTGTGGTCTGAGGGGTGCCATCTTTGAACATCAGTGGCTCAGCAACAAGGAACTTTTTGGAGAAGGTGCTTTACCCCACTGTTGGTCACAAAACGTGCGAATTTTACTAGATGTGATGAATTTATTGGGTTCTGTCAAGAGGCAAAGATATAAAACTGTAGAAGCTGTAGGACAGACAGCCCTAGTGACACAAGCTGTCTGTCCAGAGGGTGGGGATGAGGGCGAGAGAGACAAAGGTCTTTGGGGCACTGATTTCCAGACTTCATCAATAGTTCATGAGAATCCACACTTCCGTGGAGACCCCCTCATGCACAAGATGGTGGGGCCAGGAGATGGGGCAGGGGCGCAAGGCCATGTTTCATGGGGACTGAGTTTTAGTTTGGGAAGCTGAGAACATTCTAGAAATGGATGGTAGGGATGATTGCACAAAAATGTGAATGTACTTAATACAGTGCTTAACATGGAAATTTTTACATATAGTCTACCATAATTGTTTAATTTTTTTTAATGTTTGTTTATTCCTCAGAGAGAGAGAGAGAGAGAGAGAGAGAGAGAGACCATGAGTGGGGGAGGGGCAGGGTCAGAGGCAGACACAGAATCGGAAGCAGGCTCCAGGCTCCGAGCTG